TCTAGCCTGGGCAGCCCATTCATTATTTTGAAAGTTTCAATGACGTCACCTCTCAGACGTCCCCTTTCCATTCAGAAAAGCCCTAGGTCTTTTACCTCTCCTTTTGTGCTTTACGCCTAATTCCCGCGATTGTCTTAGTGGCTAACCGTTGCACCCTCTCGATGCAATTGATATCCTTTCTCAAGTAAGGCGCCCAATCCTGCACGCAGTATTCTAACTGCGGTCTAATTATGACCTTATGTAGAGGTATGAAAACCTCAGCCTTCCTTGACATTAGAGCCGCCTTAAGCTGGAACGATTCCCCACTCGCTTTTGGTGCGGTGACCAGGCATAGATGACTGAGCTTAAAATCCCCGCTGACCAAAATTCCCAGATCCAGCATTCGGTCCACTCCAGCGAATACCGTGGGTTACCTGGTCGTAGCTACTCGATTCGGAAACCCTGCGATATTTAGAACATGATACTTGGTAGCGTGTAGCTCCAATTCCCAGCTCTGCTTCCACCGGACAACCTTGATCAGATCAGCTTCCAGTTGATCTACAGGTCCTGAGTTCACTAGTTTTACGTCGTCGGCAAAGATGAGGGTAGGAACCGCTAGTTCCTGGACCAGGTCACATATAAACAGCAGTAAGATCACCGGGCATAGCGCTGAGCCCTGCGATACACCGTTGGATACGCTTCCAACGTTAGACAGAGCTTCTCCCACCCGAACTCTATAGGCCTGGTTGGTGAAGAAAGCTCCTATATATCTAATTAGAGATGTTGGGAAATCAAAGCCCCAATGTCAGTTTGCAGAGGACAGGAGATGGCCTCGGCCAATCAAGCGTCCAGAGTTCCTCCGGTAGTAAGCCACGTGTTGGCTCCTACCACTTCGAGTTGTAGTTCTACACGTTTTCTGCTCGTCCTAGTCGTCTCCGCCTCCGTAAGGAGGGAACTCAAATTTGGGAGCGTTCTCTTTTTGAGGTGGTTAGTAAATGAATAAACCTACCACGGTTTCCAGACCTCGACCTATGCGTCAACTTCGCGAAATATGATCAATCAGCGCTTATCGAGCTTCTTTTTGAAAGCATGTAAGCCCCTAGCTCCACTAGCTCCTTCGGGAGCTTATTCCATGAGTTTGTAGAAACGTCGACTACGACCGAGCGTGACGCGCTTCTGAACGGGAACCCCGAGCTCGCAACACAACCAAGTTACAGCTAGTTAAACCGGAAGACTTGTGGTTGTAGACGTTTATTGAGGTACAGTGGCACGTAGGAAGTACCGGTACCGGCTAACGAACGTTTGCGTTAAAGCACGAACGCGACAGAATTAACGAGCGCAATAACGAGCAAAGCGGAGCGAAAGCGATAAAGTGAAAGTTCCCTTCGCGGAAGGATACAGCAGTTTTCCAATCGTATAAAACAAACATCGCCTGGCGTTGGTACTGGAGTGAAAATGTGAACGCACATTTGGATTGTAGATAAAAAGTGATGTCCGGTAAACGTCTGCTATTGTCCGGCTTTCACCGTGCAATCGGACACGCTACAAGTTGAATACCCTGTTGCTGAAGAAGTTTAAACGTACCGCTAGTCTCTGGCGCACTTTCTTCAGTTTGTACATATACCTCTAGTATTGCTTTGCAGCCTCTCGAAGAACACTGCTGATCCGTCCCTGATAGGTCATTCATAATTTTGAATGTCTCTATCAATTCACGCCGGAGTGCGAAGTTCTGCAGTCTCTGCTTATACGGCTTCCCTCGCTGTCCTTCGGCTATCCTTGTGGTTATTTGCTGGAACCCTCGCGACAAGCGGCGTCCTTTTACAAGATGCGTTAAAACAATGGCCTTCTACAGAGATACGAATACCTCCGGTTTCCTACATGTTAATTCAGCTCCGTTCAAGTCAGGTCAGGTTGGGTTGCACAGGCCTGGATATGGCCACGGCCAAATAGAAGTCCAGAATCCATTCGATGCCATTCTCACCGCGTGGGCACCCATCTCTGCCGAGATAAAAGTGAGAAATAGAACCAATCTCTTCAAACTGGCCAATGAATGTTTACACCTAATCATTTCAGTTCAGTTCAGTTTTCATAGGACGAATTGTGGCTCTTGCCAATCGCGCGTCCAGTTCCTTGTGTTGTCGGCTGTTTCATTGGCTTCCAACACTTTGAGTGAATATTGTTTTCTGAAAGGCAGAATGTTTGTGTGCGGTATCAGATCCCTTCTCATGTTTCGGAATGTAAAGAATAACGATTAACGTTCAACATTCAACTACTGCCCAGGATTCGTCTAGCTTTCTCTTGAATGGTTCGACACCAATACGGTTAACGACAGCTTCAGGTTATTTATTCCATAGTGATATATCGCTGTTTGTGAAAAACCTTCCTCATAGATCGATTCTGCGATGACTTCTTTCCAGTCTTGGCTAATGCCCCCTCTTGCCCCTGGTAGGACCAAACGAAAATAAGCGTTCAAACTTTGGAATTAAACGCTCTTTTACAATCCTAATTGTGACAGTTTTATAGACNAACTGTGTTAATTGTTATTTTTGAAGCTCGGGTAGTATAACACGATGTTCAGTTGTTCGCCAAGCTTGGCAATAGTACTGCAAACGTTTCATCACAAATCGAGGTGATGAAACGTTTACAATACATTTGCCGAACTCGGCGAACAACTTAGAATCAATCTTAAATGTGTCTATAAGGTCGCCCCGCAGGCGTCTGTGGGCCAGGGAGAACAGGTCTAGGTCCCTCGGTCGTTGGAGCCATCCCTTATTTTTCTGGCCTGCTACTCTTTGGTTGCTGACCGCTATACTTTCTCAGAATACCGTTCATC